AGGTGTGTTTAAAAAAGAGTAGTATAAAAGGAAATGTCACAAAAAGAAAATTATGATGTGCTGTATTTCTCATTCAATAAATTGATGTGAACTCTTAGCCCCACATATTTACTATTTTGTATTTTCTTTTGGAGGAAGTTAGGCAAAAGACAATAAACATATGCATGTGTGATAATGCGTACATACCAACATGTGTGCGGTAGAATGTGATTACTCTATTTTTAATAATATATTTTAAGTTTAAATTTTAAATATTAAAAAAATTTATAATATATATATATATACACGTTGTGATCTTTTTTAATATTTGTTGTTAAACTCTATATTTATCATTCATGATACTATTGATAATTAATACCTTATATCAATTACTTGAACTTAAAACTTCTTTTCTCTTATTTTAAAAATCAAGATAAATGTTAGAATCGAAAGAAATATGGCATTTGAGTTTTCATGGCACATATTATTTTAGGAGAATATTTTTTAAAAGGTTCAAGTATATATGTAAGCTTTGTTAATAGATATTATTGATATACTAAATAATTGTTGCTCTTTATCCAATCGTTAAATATTCAACTAGTGTACATATATAAATCTTCTAATATTTCTAGATATTAGATAATTTAAAACTAGACATTTCAAAAAAAATTATATCATGATTAACAATCTCATAAAAAAAATAGTATGACTAAGATAGACCTCAAGCTTAATAATCCATCTCTATTTTTATTCAATGTGCAACTCTTTGGACACTTTTGAAAATTATATGAAATGAATTTAAAACCTCAAATACTTTTCAACCAATATAACTAGAAGAAACGATTCCAAAAACAGCATCTTTCAACCAATTTACTACAACAAGAAAAGAAAAAAGTAGAGCCAAACAATAAGTACCACGTTGAAATTGTGTCACATTCATATCATATTTTTCATTAATTTAATAAAGTTTTATTTAATTTCTCCTCCGTGATATACGAATCTATTTTCCTCCACCTTGTTTTGTTTCCCCTTTTCATAATTGGAATGGAGAATGCATCTAAAATTGAACAAAATTTTATTATGTATAATTAGTACTAAAGGTATTATTTTATTATAGATATATTTTAATTTGTGGATCCATTTTTGGTTTTTCTTCTTTGCCATTAATTTTTCTTTCTTGCGCTTCTCTAATCTTTCCCTTCTTTTTTTTTTTAATTTTATGTTATCTTAAATCTATATGCAATTACTATCCCAAATTTATTCAGTATAGATGAAAATATATTTTATTTACGACTAAGATATTAAAAGTTAACATAATTTTAAATGGTAAATACGACTAATTTAGTAAATTTTTTCCTAATGCAGTATAATTTAATTTATATAAAAAAAATTTTGAAAAGAAAAAAGTGAAACACTTGTTATTAAATTAAATATTAAAAATTATTTGACATTTGAACATAGAATTTAAATATGTTATTTACGGTATTTGAAATATATGGAGCAAGAGTTGAAAATAAAATTATTTTTTATTTTCATAAAAAAAATTGAAATAATATTCATGTTTTAAATAATATCAAAAGTGAAAAATTAGTTTAAAATAAGATTATACTAACATACTTTTTCAAATTCAAAATATACCTCCAATTTTGAAAAGCCGTATTTCAAATTTTTATGATCAAACATCAACTCTTAAATAAAATTAAAAAATAATTTTTAGATAAATTTTAAAAGTAAAAGTTTAAATGATACGAAATATGAAAGTGAAAATTTTCAAAAGAACAATAAACAAAAAAATGAGAGAAAAGAAATATTTTTCAGGCATAAATAACTATTTAAAGAATTGACATGACCTTTTATATACTCGTGTTTTTTTATTTAATGATAAAATAAGTTATTTTAATTTAAAACAAATAAGTAAAAAATTATTTTCATATGTACAAAATGAAAGGTTTCCATAAATAAATTGGTTTAAACATTAATTAAAGAGAAAAAAAAAGAAAATAAGAAAAAAGAGGAAAGAGCAAAACAAGAAAGAGATATAGGAGGCAAAGAAGAAAAACAAAGCGTAGATTCTACCAATTTAAATAAAAAATAATAAAATAGTGCTTCACAGAACCAGTACTAATTATACTTCATACATAATAAAATTATTGAAAATTGAAGGAGAAAAAAGGTGAAGACAACAATAATGTCTTAGTCAACGTTATTCCAAAACGTACGTGGAATTGATTTTTGTTTTACCATTTTCAAAAGTAAATTAAATATATATTTTTTATAAAAAATAATTATTTTCTCTACTTAAAATGCTTCTTAAAATTTTATTTTTCAAGAGTCAATTTATATTAATTTTAATTAATATTAAAAAATCATCAAGTTAATAGAAGAAAAATATAACTTACATCAGTTTTGTTAATTATATAGTATTTAAATACTTAAATTAAATAAATATATTGAACCGTTAAAAATGAACGAATGAAATTGTTTATAATTAAAGTTATTGATGTAAGATATGGGAGGGCACTAAAAAAATGAGAAGGGGCCACATATGTTTATGTACTTTCAATGTCGAGAAACGTGGTAGCTTCTGGTCCTAGGAGATACTATATTTTATTTTCATGAAGGTGTGGAATATGACTCATGTGCTTAATGAACGGTCATACCCATTAGATTTATTATTATAAGTTCGTGGTGTAGTGATAAAATTATTTATCTTTTTAGTTTGAATGATTACGTGTATTCGGTTTGAATGAGATTTTTTTTATGAGAAATTTCTTAAATTTTTATTTATTTATATATATTTTTGTCATTTGTTAAATAAGTGAATATAATTGTACATAATAAAATTTGTGTCGAGAAAATAATAATCAGGAACGAAAAATTATAGCAACAATCGATTTATTATTTCGAATGCGAGTGTTACAATCTCTATGATTCCTCTGAATTCGCCTTTTCAAATACAAATTCAAGGGTTTAAAGCTTGATCTTGAATCTTAATTTTTATCTTGATCTTGGACTTGAACTTGAACTTTATGTTGAACTTTATCTTGATATTGACTTCTAGTTGAATCCAAGGGCTTCGAGCTTGATTTTGAATCCGGCAGCCTTGATTTTGATCATTCTTGATCTTTATCGTTCTTGAAACTTGAATGCTTAAATTCTTGAACTTGTAGAGAAATCTGCAGTTTTTGATCCATGAGCTTTCTCTAACTTCTTGTTAAAATTCGTGGTCCGCTTTTTCTGAATTATGAGATCCCTATTTATAGTTTTAGAATAGAGGAGTAGCGATTGAAACAAGACTCCCTTCGACCAATCAGAATTAAGAGAAATATCATATGGGCTTTTTGAAGCAGGCTTTAATTAAATTCATATTTATTTAAATTTTAGATAATTAAATCAATTATATTAATCAATAATATTTATTTAGACTAATATATTTAATAATTTAATATAATACGAATAACTTTATAAATTTATATTTAATAAATTTTAAGTGACTACAATAATATTTTAAAAGTATTTATATATAATCTAGTCTATGCATTTGGCATGAGAGGCTAGGTGTAGGGGTGGTTAGGTTTGTGAGGGAGTGGGGTGAGGTTTGTTGGAGGGGTATTGCTAATTGTTTAGCGTTTGATTATAAATTTTTCAATATTCATGACAAGTTATATTTGTGTGAAGTTTTACCATATGTTTAACTATATTTATTTTGAAGGAAAAAATAGTCCTTAAAAAGCAATTGATTTATATTTATAAATTTTAAAAATTATTAATAAGCTTGTATTATCATTCCGTATAAAGTTATAATAATGAAACAATTAGTAGGAATATGAAAAAACATAAGGGAAATGTCATAGATTTTCTATACGAAAAATTGCTATTACTTGTAATTAGAAGTGACATTGCGGGAGTAAGCTAAATAAAATATGTATACAAATATATAAATTTTGTACAAAATAGGATCGAATTTTAGTTCAAAACTATAAATGAAGAGTGTTTTTATAAATTATAAATATTTGGATGATTTTAAATTTTTTAAAAAACCACGAATACTCCCCTCCCGCCCCCCCTCTAATATTTGAAAACTTAGGATGGTTACCAAATATGTTTATAAAGAAATAACAACTTATATTTGAAAATACTTGTGGCCAAATGAAAATGAAAAACTCGTTTTTTTTTTTAAATTTCTATGTGTAAAATTTAAAAATTTAATTTTTTACCAAAATATTTTCATCGTCCATAACGCACCCGCAGTCTCTTGTAAAATAAGGTCCACTTGAAATGAAATGCTCACGGCCCATGCAAACCTCCTACATCATACATTAGTTAATTAGTATACTTAATTTCAAACTTATTTATCTTAGTTTACTTTGAGTTTTAAATTTTGATTTTTATATACAAAATTATGATGTTAAATTTAAAATATATCAAATACTTCCCTATTCTGTTTTAAAATGTCTACAATGAGATTTTTAATAAATTTTTATTTTTTATTTTTTGGTCCATATCCTCTCTATATTAATATTAGTCATACGTATATGTAGTTATAAAAAATATATTGTTAAAATTATTGTGCTAAGTTAAACTACAATTAAACGGATAACTAAGTGGACAAATTCAATCCTCAAGGGAACTATTCATTCGGACCCATCTAGGAATCCATTATTCGTTAGCCATTTACAAGAATAGAGACCCCATTAAGAATAATACATAAAATTAATAGTTATAATGGAGCACCCAATACTTCTTAATTTGCATAAAAGGTGCTTGCTTGATTTTCAATTTCCTAAAAGAGATATATATAATGTAGGTGAAGAAAATAATCTTTCCTAATTGCCAGCGTGGATTCAAATGAGTAATTAAAAATTAAATAAATAAACATAAATATAGATTATACAACAAAATGAAAAGGGGGGCCCCGCGTTCTGTTTTTGGTAAAAGAAATAAGAGTAATTTTTTGTAAATTTTTCCATATAAAACCATAGTGTTTCCCAAAATAAGAGGAACCAAAAGTAGCTTCACAAATCACACAACCCACATAAGTTGCCTCACACGTCCCATCTTTCTTCTTCCCCAACCCCTACCCCCTATCTACTGCTCCTATGGAGTACTATAACTAAATGAAATTCATCTCAATTTATTCTTCTTCCATTGACGCTTACAATCATTTTGGTTAACTCCCACAGATATTTTATAGTTAGTCTAAAACAGAACAATGTTGGATCTCAATGTAAGCGTAATCTACAATAATGACCTTCCACAAGTTTCTCTACTTGATGAATCAGCCACCTCCAATTCATCCTTACGAAATGCGGAAGCTACAACCAGTGCCGGTGACGAAGATTCGTGCGCCGGTGAGTTGTTCGCTTTCAATTTTGGAATCCTCAAAGTTGAAGGAGCTGAGACTAGTAGGAGCAGCAACAACGATGATGAGGAAGGATACGGTAAGAATCAGAGAGTTACTCATTCTCAATTCGTGACTAGGCAGCTGTTTCCCGTTGATGATGGTGAGTTGAACCGGAAACAAACCGATCGGGTCATTCTCTCCTCCGCTCGATCCGGTACTTCTATCGGTTTTGGAGATGTGCGGATAATACAACAGCAACAAACGGAGCAACCGAAACAACAAGTGAAGAAGAGTAGGAGAGGCCCAAGGTCAAGAAGTTCACAGTACAGAGGTGTCACTTTCTACCGTAGAACTGGTAGATGGGAATCACATATATGGTTAGTTTTCTAACTGATTTTTTTTTTGTTGATAGGATGATGATTAATTGGCAAATGATAAATTGTCAATTTTATTAATATAACTACAATTGGATGCAGGGACTGTGGGAAACAAGTATATTTGGGTATGGATATTGCTATTTTAAATATACAGTTTGGTTAATTTCGTTGTTTTTGTGGATTTTGGTGCTAAAGCTGTGTCTATACTTTTTGCTAATTTTTGATTGTTTTTTTTTGTTGCTTTATATTAGGTGGTTTTGATACTGCTCACACAGCAGCAAGGTAAAATAAAAGTCATATGAGTTCTCAAATATACGCGTCATCAGATTTTTCAAATTTATGCTATTTCCCAAATTTGATTGTATTTGTTTTCTTCTCCGTTGTACAGAGCTTATGACAGAGCTGCAATTAAATTTAGGGGTGTTGATGCTGATATCAACTTTAGCTTAAGTGATTACGAGGAGGATATGCAACAGGTTAGAAATGCAAAGATTTAATATGCGCAAATATGTTAAGGTCACTGTTGAGCGCTTCTCTGGGTTTATTATTGCTTCTGTTTTAATTGGCATCAATAATATGAATCATATACAAGTATTCTGAACTATTTGGTGGACACCTTTTTTTGATTTACGCAGATGAAAAACCTTGGTAAAGAAGAATTTGTGCACTTGCTGCGACGCCATAGCACTGGTTTCTCAAGAGGGAGCTCCAAATTCAGAGGAGTGACGCTACATAAATGTGGCAGATGGGAGGCTCGGATGGGACAGTTCCTCGGGAAAAAGTAAGGAACTCACTCACTCATTGAAATTCTCGAAGAAGTAGATTACATCTTATTATAGTAATTGGTCAAAAATGGGACATACATATGTTTAAATTGCGTATTTGAAGAAGAAATCATTGGGACAACAGTATTCATAGTGGGGATTGCACTGCTTATATTGCAGGTATATATATCTTGGGCTGTTCGACAGCGAAGTAGAAGCTGCAAGGTCCTAATGATAATGAATTACCCTCTCTCTGATGATGAACATTTATCCTAAATTTTCAACTTTAATTATGTGTCATCTAACCGGTATCTCCTTTATTTTTTTGCAAATCAGGGCCTACGATAAGGCGGCAATTAAAACTAGCGGAAGGGAAGCTGTTACCAACTTTGAGCCAAGTAGCTATGAAGGGGAAACAATGTCTTTACCACAGAGTGAAGGTTTGCTCAAAAGTTCTTGGTCATTTCCAAACTAATATAGATACATGCAACAGTAGTATCTATATGTGGATCTATCTCATTTGTGATGCCTATGATGCAGGTAGCCAACATGATCTTGATCTGAACTTGGGGATATCGACCACTTCTTCAAAGGAAAATGACAGGTTGGGAGGTTCTCGCTATCATCCTTACGATATGCAAGACGCAACAAAACCTAAGGTATTAGCAGAGTAGCTTATATGCTTCTGTTCTTGCAAAATCAATTGGATTAAAATGCTCTCCTTTATGTTATAGTCTTCTATTGTTACTTCTTTCATAGATAATATGCAAGAGATCTATTGCAGTAATTCATGATTATTAGTTATTGGTAGTAATATAATCTCCTTTTTGTTAATTTAGATAGCTTTTCCCATTCATACATAATTGTGATAAAACATGTTCATGAGCATTGTTAATCTTTCGTTTTTGTAGATTGTAATAATCTATTTGTGCTCTTTAACTATAGATGGATAAACCTGGTTCAGTAATAGTTGGAAGTTCACATCTCAAGGGACTACCAATGTCGTCCCAACAAGCTCAATTGTGGACTGGAATCTATTCTAATTTCTCTTCCAGCTATGAGGTAAAATACTAACTCTACCATCAGTCAGAAATTTGGGACCAAATACAGTGATGAAACTCCAATTTATCTCTGTTTAGTCTTCTTTTCCTCACTTATCGTCAAATTAGCACGTATTCAGTTGCCAAAATAGCCATATTCATGCCCCCTTACCCCAATTTCCCTCAAGTGCTGGGACCATTTGTGTTGTATGAAATGTTTTACCTTTTTCCTTCTAGTTCTTTGCATTGTCTTCAGTTGCCAAAATAACTATCTCCATCCCCGAAGCCCAATTTCTCTGAAGTACTGAAATTATTTGTCTTGTATGAAACATTTTACCTTTTTACTTCTTGTGTTTTTTGGGGCTGATAATCAGTGATAGTATGCCCCATGACAAATGATTATATTGTTGTGGGATCGTACACCCCATGATAAGATTTATCTTTAACTTAACAAAATTTCTTTGTACTTAGTCAATCATTTGGATAATCATGAGCTATGTTATACTTGGGGTGCATATTCTCATGTGTGGTCACAGCCAGTTTTTCACTGCAAACAGTTGTCTAAAAGTCAATGTCTTTGTTATGCCCTTTTGTGCCTCTTCTTAATTGAATGCATCCTTAGTATAACCTTCCAAAACCCTCTCTCTGTTAATTTAACTAATAATCATATGGCAGGGAAGAGCATATGACAAGAGAAAGGACACAGGTTCATCACAAGGACCTCCAAATTGGGCACTGCAAATGCCTAGTCAGGTTGATACAAACAGCCCATTGACAATGTTCTGCACGGCAGCATCATCAGGATTCTTCATTCCATCTACTACTTCTATCACTTCATCAACATCTGCATTAGCAACTTCAACAAATGCCTCGCAGTGCTTTTACCAGATTAATCCCCGCCTACCACTTCCATAACATGTACTTATCCGTAACTAGTAATATAGGTATAAACATAGTCATTGATTTCTTTTGTATGAATAACATTTTTGTGGATTGGATAATTTTTAGAACTGCTTCAGGATCTGATAGGTAAAGATTTGAACTATACTTACAGATTGATATAGTATTTGTACTTATCCTTGCTTACCGTATTGTTACATTGGTGCAAAGTTGCATTCTTCCTCCACAACTAGTGTCTCCATTAGTGATTGAATGTTGTGGGGACCTACAGTCAAGTTGGGCACTTTGCCACACTTCTGTTGGTTTGACTAAGATTGAGGATTAGCTTTTCTGCTTTGTCCTTCATACGTTTTCTTAAAAAAAATGTTTAAACTTGTGGCACTAATTCAGACAACCAATTTACCAAGGAAAAGGCTCGAAGTTGAGGAGGTTCCCCTTTTTGTTTCATATTTGTCTACTCTGATTGCAAATCATTTGGTGGACTTCTCTTCATATGCTGATTGTTTCAGTATATTTGTTTTTCTGTTTCACTCTTTGGAAATGACGTCTTACAGAAGGTTTAAGTAACACAAATGAATCAAATAAAATCACTTGATATTTGTCTTACAACACCTTCAAATGGGTCAATACATGTTGCGTTTTGATCATCGAAAATATTAGCAATAGAGATAAAAGTAGGATTCTCAACTCTCTCTCGACCTATAATCTGTAAGAATACATACAACTTTTGCAAACCAATGAAAGCTAGAGATAGATAAACTACACAACACGTTGATTTCAAACCTTGGCCATGCCGGTAAACGTACATAGCCTTATTACTTTTCTAGAAATTTATCGCAGAGAAGAATTTCAGCCACATCAAATCATGTCCACTCTGAACACGATTTTCAATTTGACATGACAGAGTTGAGAGTTCTTACTCTGAGTATGATCAACAATCCATAACCGCTTAATAGAGAAAAGTTGTCCCTCACATCAACAAATCTCTTGTTCTGATGCATCAGTAATTGAAGTGTTGCCTCATTTCCAAAAGCACTTAATTGTGGAAGAGAACTTGTTAAGGCCATTTTGAGCCTTCCCTTTCAATATTGAGAGTTAAGTTGATGAAGTTATGTACTACTACTATTTGAGTGTGTCAATATGGAGAGTTAAAGTCACTAGAAAGATTATAGTTAATGTTTTTAATTTAAGGTATGGGTTATTGGTTTGTAACCTAAATTGAACATGTTCAGTGGCAAACCTAAAATTCTTCCCGGCTCTGTTTCAGTCCTGAAGAGATGGGGAAAGTATCTTACATGATGCGGAAGGGAATTCAAAACTTGAAACTGCGTCGACCCTTTCATCCAAATCGATTATTATTGAGGATATACGTGATGATTCTACTTGTCCTGCTCTTCGTCCACATGTTTTCTCCGTCTTCTTGAAAAAGTTTGTGATGATTGTGTTGTTGAAGTCGATGAAACTGGTAAACTCACAGAATTGCCTCTTTTTTCTTTCATTTATGGATATTGGGTTTGAATTATTATGGCCATAAACTTATCGTGCTATTGTTGGCAGGCACAAAATTGAAGTAGTATAATGGGGGGAAGACATTCAGTTCATGATTGTGGCGTCAATCGCTCAATTTGCTACTTTTTGGAACCTTGATTGTGCTCGGGTTGTTTGGAAAGAAACCATTCACCATTAGGCTTAAAGGTGATGTTTATTTTTCCCTTCAGCTGTACTTTCAACTTATTCCATTAGGCAACAACTTTACACTAATGCTAGTTGAAGTCTAATAACATACTAGTTGCTTCTCGTCTTCGGTTAAAACACATTGCAACTCATTAAAAAGTCAGAATTACTTTAACAAAACCATTATCATCTAGAAGGAGATGACAACAGCCACCCTGCAGTCTTCACGTTTTTTGAGTTCATTATGGTGTTTAATTAGAGGATGAACAGAGGGAATATCAATATTTTCAGTATCTAGAGTATTCAGGCAGCTAAAATATCCTTTCCAAGGTCTGGTGAAGAGAATTAGAGGTGTTTCCTTTTCAACTAGTTTAAGATTTTGTTGTAACGAGAGTTATTAACTAGCATAGTCAATATTACGTTTGGTAGCTAATTTGTAGTTGTTCTCTATGAAAAGAAGTTGAGCATTAATTATTTGGACAAAATGCCAACAGAAGATTATTTACATAGTTAACTGAGACGAGGAGAGTAAATTGACCAAGATGCTTAGAAGATAATTAATTGGCAAGTTTAATACAACTACAACTATTATCTATCATTCATCATATAGCCCACTTCAACCTCACTTAGTCTCTAATATTTTTTAATCGCGATTTGGTATATGCAATATTTTGTTAGGTGATTGGAATATTTATTTTGCACGTCAATCTCTAATTATCATTATTTATTAAATACAAATTGAGTTATTTAATCAGTATGGTGAACATATATTAAAGATAAGAAATATCATGGAATCTAATAGTTATCAGACATATTAAATCAAATAATCCGTTCTCAAAAAATAAAAGGATTAGTAAGTGTAATTTACTTTAAAAGTTGGTGCAAAGACGTGTAGTTCCACCTAAAAGGTTCTTGGAAAAAGTTTAAATCAAAAATTTTGGTTTATAAAGTTGTGCTTTTTACATTACTTTACGATAAAAATTTTGATGTGAATATAAATGTTAGATCGTAATTCATAATAGCATAAATAAGTATAAATTACGTTAAGATGCTTTGATATGCAATCCACGTATATCTTCCATGTAAATGTTTGCTACTACCTAAAATATTTTTTAAGAAAAATTTTCTCCAAAGTTTAGTCTTTCTCTAAATTATTAGGATTAGTAGCCAGGGCTTTGGTTTATTCAAATATTGAGAATCTATGATACCAATAATTACATCTAAAATAGTTAAGTAGGAAAAACATTAGTAATTTTTAATTAATAAAATGTGTTTTGTGTGTTCAACAGTTTGGACTACGCCAGCAAAAGATATTATTTTCCTTCGAGCTGAGCAGGTATATATAATTTCGTCAAAGTCAACTAAACGCCAAGAATAAAAAACAAAACTACAATATGGGACCATGCTTTATTTCTTAGTGCTAATTGTTGGGTTTTCTTTTAATGAAACTTATCTTTCCACTAGAAGGCCCATACTTGCAGATATCTCTTGAGCTGATAATATATATAATTAAGTGCTATCCCAAAAGTTTGAAGTAGTTATTTATGCTTCGAGTGTTTTTCAACCATGGAGGCACAATTACCAAGAAGAACCGGAGGGTGGATAACCTTCCCCTTTATCATAGGTCTCACCTCACTTTTTTCTATTTCGATCATGCACTCGTTATTTATTTTCATTGTTCAAAATTTTAACAACATGAAAAAATCAAAAGCTCTGGTGCTACGATGCTATCCATGTTACTTTATTTGTTGCATATAGCCTAAATATTTGTTGCAGTAATTTAACATGTTATAATAACAAGTTACGTGTATATATATTGACGTGTAATTCGATTTTGACAAAAAACAGCGAGCTCAGTAGGGTTGACCTTAGCATTTGGAGGTTGGACAAGCAATCTTATTGTGTATCTGATTAAGGAATTTGATGTAGAGAGTATTGATGCTGCTCAAATATCAAATTTGGTTAATGGTGCTGGAAGCTTAATTCCTGTTGTTGCTGCAATTATTGCTGACTCTTTTCTTGGTTGTTTCTCTACCATTTGGATTTCATCCATCATCTCATTATTGGTAATGAGCTACTATTTTGTGTGTACCCTAACTTTGTTTGACCTTGTGAAATTGTTAAATAAAGGGTGTTTGACTAAGCTTATTTATTGTTCGTTAAATCAAGATATATTATTGTTTATTCAAACTTCGATTCTATACAAGAAGAGTTGGCTTAACTAACAATAAAGAAAAATTTAAAAATTGTCTTCGACGTTGCTGTAAAGGATTTTATAATCATAGTGTTTATTACTTTAAAACAAAATCTAGATTAATCTCCTCAACTTATGATTTATTTATTTTTGGTCTTTACTTGTAGGGCACAAACCTTTTAGCTTTAACAGCTACGGTTGATTCTTTGAGGCCTAAACCGTGTGAAGTTGGTTCAACCTCATGTACCTCTAAACCAAAAGTTCAATATGTAGTACTCTATGCAGCTATAGTTCTGGCTACTCTGGGTAGTGGTGGTACCCGTTCAACCCTTTCGACGATCGGAGCCGATCAGCTAGCTGATAAACCAAAGGATCAAGGGATTTTCTTCAATTGGTTCTTCTTCTTCTGGTATTCTGCTTCAGTAGTAGCATCCACAGCTATTGTGTATGTTGAAGACAACGTGAGCTGGAAAGCTGGATTTTTCATTTGTGCAGCCTCCAATATTGTTGCTTTAGTCATTTTCCTATTGGGAAGTAGATTTTACACTAAATTTAAGCCACAAGGGAGTCCATTCACCAGTTTGGCTCGTGTTATTGTTGCTAGTATTTCCAAAAGACAAGTTGCACTCCCATCGACTGCTGAGGACTTCTTCCAGGGATGTGACGTTGCACCCAAATCATTACCTGTTGTACCTTCCAAAACCTTCAGGTAATACATACATACTTCATTCGTTTATTAGTCTGTTTCGAAAAGATTGTTTACCTGATACATTCTATATATCTTTAGTTTTGTTGGGATTTAGCAAGTTTGAATGGGAAAATAAAAGAGAGAATATGAAAAGTAGAAAATTACTTTGGAGGAAAATGAAAAGTCATTTGCAAAGTGCAAATGAAAAGTCATTTCTCCCATATCAGCAAAAAAAAGGGAAATTGTTGTCCTTACGAGGAAACACTTCCATTACTTCTTAAAGAGCTAAGAAGAAAGATGCCCCTCGCACTGAGTCTGTGATTAATTCATAACGTTGGGGTACAATGAGGGGATTAAATTTCTTAAGGACACACAGTAGTTTTTGTGAACTCGGATTACTTCTAGTATTTTATGTATTTTCTGCTTCATCTTATTTCTGTTTCTATTTATTAACCTTATAAATATAGGTTACTATAGAATAACAAGTTTAAGACGAAATTTTTTTTTTCTTTGTTAAACTATATTTCAAATCAAAACTATACAAATAAATTAAAATGAAGGGAGTAAATATAATAACATACAAGGACATAAATGTAAAAGTTTCTTTCAACTTTAAAAAGTTGTCTCGTCAAAGTAACACAAAAGAATGAGGGGATTATATGATTAGATTTTGCAGTGGAAGTGCATGTGAGTATGTCAGCATATCTTTATGTTGAAAGATTTTTCTTATATAAATAATTAATCTGTTTCGACAATGATATGAAGCACTTTGTTTTTTTGTTTTTATGGATCGATGTTATGTAGCACTAATTATGGAGATTTGTTAATTCATTTGAGACGAGACGTACTATCACACGTCATAGGCAAGTTGATTTATCTGGTTCAAACAAGTAAAATCACTATATTTATTTTGTTGATAATATAATCACTTCAGGTATTTGAACCGTGCCGCCATCATAAGTGAAGGTGATGTAAAACCAGATGGTTGTTCAACAAGTAATCGATGGAGACTATGTTCAGTACAAGAAGTAGAAGATTTCAAAACATTAATTAAAATCTTACCACTTTGGTCATCTAGTTTTTTTCTTGGCACCACAATTGGCGTACAATTAAGTTTTTCAGTCCTTCAAGCCTTAGCTATGGACCGCCACATAGGACCCAGTTTCCAAATCCCAGCTGGATCCATACAAGTTTTTGTCCTTGTATCTACTGCTCTATTCCTCGCCCTGTTCGACAAATTTCTCTTTCCTACATGGAGGAATTTGAGTGGCAGATCACTTACACCTCTCCAGAGAATTGGGGTTGGACACGTGATTAATTTTGTGAGCATGGGTGTCTCAGCCTTAGTCGAGTCAAAGAGGCTAAATGTAGCAAAATCAAATCAAGTTGTGCCAATGTCAGTTTTATGGCTTGTGCCACAATTAGTACTTAATGGTATCGGGGAGGCATTTCATTATCCTGGACAAGTATCATTGTACTACCAAGAGTTTCCAATTACCTTAAAGAACATGGCGACCGCGATGATTTCTATGCTTGTTGGTATAGCATTTTATTTGACTACTGTTCTAATTGATGTTGTTAGAAGGACAACAACATGGTTACCAGGTAACATAAATAATGGAAGATTGGACAATGTGTATTGGATATTGGTTGTAGGGGGGATATTGAACTTTGGTTACTATGTAATATGTGCTTGGTTTTACAATCATAAAAACCTCAACAAAGTTGATTCTCCTTCTGATGAGTGATCTGAGAATCCTCAGACTTGTGAGTGTTTAGAGAGAGCAATAATTTATCATCAATCTGCAATTAGTGAAAAAACATTTGCACATGTTGTAATAAGATATATGTTGTATTTATGTTTTTGGATTGCTACACTTGCTTGCTTTCCAAATTCACACACTTCAATATCAATATCTTAATTTCAGAGTTCAGATAATATAAACAGTACCCTCTCCGTTAATTTTTAATTGTCATGTGGGCTTTTTGATGGTTAACTTGATTGATTTGTAAATTAAATTAATTCTTATAATAAGTAACAAATTTTGATATTCAAAAATTACACTAAAAGTCCTATGAATTGAAATTTTTTACATATCAATGTAACAAAAAAATATATAATAAAATATTAGTTAAAGTTTTTATAGTTTAACTTTAGAAAAAGAAATTATGACGATTAAACGTGGATAGAGGAATAGTGTGTAAGTTATAATAGCATAAATACGTTTAATTAAAGTTTGAGTGCTTTGATATGCAATCCATGTCTGTCTATATATCAGATGTACATGTTTGCTACGACGACGTAAAAGTCAATGAGAATAATTTCTCTAAAATAAGTCATTTTCTAAATTACTAGGATTAGTAGTTTTAATTGACTTTGATTACATTTACATTAGATATTAAGAATCTATGGTACCAATAATTACTTCTGAAATGATCAAGTAGGATAAGACGTTAGTAGTTTTTAATTAATCAAATGTAATTTCTGTTCAACAGTTTGTATTACTCCAGCAAAAGATATTATTTTCCTTCGACTGTCGAGCTAGGTGATATTGGAATAATATCTATTTTGAAAGTGAACTTAGTATCGTATCTGTTTACTTTTAATAATTATGATTTTTTTTAGAATTAAATTATAAAAGTTTTAACTAAAATTTTATGATATATTTTTTCATCAAATTATTATGTAAAAAATTGCAATTTATAGTATTTTTCGTATAACTTTTGAATATCTAATTTTTTTTGTTTAAAATATCAAATTAATATAAATTATTTTTTAACTTTAAAAATTAAACAATTTAACTTTTATAAAAATGCAACATGACAATTAAAAGTCTTTGGAGAAAGTACGTAAATCAAGTCATTTAATTGATATATATTTTTTTTCAACAAAGTTCAATTCACAAATGACACAAAAACAAAAAGAACCACTTTTTAGTGCGAGAATTGCACATTGAACTTGTAATTTGATTTTGTGAATTGCGAAAACATGTCTTGTCAAAAGAGAGATAATCAATATTTTGTAGGACATCAGGGGAGGATAAAGAAGTGTAGAATATAAGTTATGAACATTCTCATTCTCTTTTGTGTCATCTTGGTTACTCTATGGAAATAAAAAGAAGATCCCTCTTATTGGATCTATAATCTTGGCTGCTGAGATGAAAGATGTACATTGTGAGAGTGAGAGTCATTTAATTGATATTCAACATGAAATATCACTAAAACAGATGAGCTATTGCAATCAAAGTCACAAAAACATGTACTTAACAATGATACTAAAAGAATTTGTTTGGATTGACTTAGAAAGATTTTTTTTTTAAAGTTATTATGAACCTTGTCAAACACTTTTTAACTTATTTTAAGTCATTTTTTATTTATTTTAAATTGTTTTTATATTTATCATAAATCAAAAATTGACTTAAAATAGATTTGACCAACTTTTAAATGAATCCAAATTTCCCAAAAATAATTTGCAGTCATTGGTCAAATTAAAATTTAATATAAAGTTGAGGGCCCTTAATTGTGATTTCTCCCCATTTATACAAAATTGTAATTCTTCCCATTTGATTAAATTCTCATGAATAAGACAATGTGCTGTCTTTATCCTAATTTAGAAATTTTTGAGCTGATATAATATATATAAGTTCTCTCCCAAAATTTTGAAGTAATTATTTATCCTTTAATTTGTGTTTTTCAACCATGGAGGCTCCATCAGTGGCACAATTACCGGGAAGAACCGGAGGATGGATCACCTTCCCCTTTATCATAGGTCTCTTTTCTCCTATCTCTTTCGTAGACCTGAATTCTTATTCCTACGCAATTTTTATTAGGTATTTGTTATTTATTTTTATTGTTATTTTTAACAACACGAAAAAACTCATGAGCTCGAGTTTTACAGTCTATGTTACTTTTTTATGAGGCATTTGTTATTTATTTTTATTGTTATTTTTAACAAGATGAAAAAACTCAAAAGTTTTAAGTTTTACGGTCTATGTTACTTTGTTACCTAAATATTTGTTACAATAATTTAACAAGTTACGTAAATATATATATTGAGGCATATATAATTCGATTTTGACAAAAACAGCGACCACGGTCGGGTTGGCCCTATCATTTGTGGGTTGGACCAGCAATCTTATTGTGTATCTTATTAAGGAATTTGATGTGGGGAGTATTGATGCTGCTCAAATATCAAATTTAGTTAATGGTGCTGGAAGCTTAACTCCTGTCATTGCTGCAATTATTGCTGACTCTTTTCTTGGTTGTTTCACTACCATTTGGATTTCATCCATCATCTCATTATTGGTAATGAACTACCACTGTTTTTTTTGATGAATTACTTATTACTCCTCATATTTAATAAATGTATGACATCATTCATTATACTTGTAGGGCACAATCCTTTTAGCTTTAACAGCTACAGTTGATTCTTTAAGGCCTAAACCATGTGAAGTTGGTTCAACCTCATGTACCCCTAAACGAATAGGTCAATATGTTGTGCTCTATACAGCCATAGTTCTAGCAACATTGGGTAGTGGTGGTATCCGATCAACCCTTGCGACGATTGGAGCCAATCAGCTAGCTGATAAACCAAAGGATCAAGGGATTTTCTTCAATTGGTTCTTCTTCTTTTGGTATTTTGCTTCTGTTATAGGATCAACGGCTATTGTGTATGTTCAAGATAACGTCAGCTGGAAAGCTGGATTTTTCATTTGTGCAGCCTCCAATATTGTTGCTTTAGTCATTTTCCTATTGGGAAGCAAATTTTACACTAAGTTTAAGCCACAAGGAAGTCCATTTACCAGTTTGGCTCGTGTTATTGTTGCTTGTATTACCAAAAGACAACTTGCACTTGCATCGATTCCGGAGGATTTCTTCCAAGGATGTAATGTAGTACCTAAAGCATTACCTGTTGTACCTTCCAGGACCTTCAGGTAACATATGTTTCAATTTGTTTTCTACTATTGTTCTTTTAAGTCCATTTTAGAAAAAAAAAAGTGTACGCTCTCTTCTTTTTAATTTCAATTTATCAAATGTCATGTTTAGATTGAATTTTTTCTATATATTTTTAACATAAGACACACTATTCCAAAGTATTAAATGATTACACATAGAGAATATCATTTTTTATCTTATAAATGTGGGGTCTTGTAAAATTAACACACATAATTTTATGATGGTGGGGTGATTTAATACTTGAGTGGAGGTTGATGTGAAGATTTCAGCATATCTTTATGTTGAAAGATTTCTTATGAACAGACTTTTTCGACAATTATATGAAGCATCTTTTTCTTTTTATGGCTGCATGTTATCTCTAAACAATTAAATTGCCCATCTTTGTGACTGACTGACTATTTAGTGATACATTAATTAAGTTGGGCACACGAGCTCTTGCTTTTCATAGCGTTATCTTTTGTGTGATAATAATGTTATCAGATCAGCTTGAGTGTAGCTTTTAACTTTTGTTGAGCATTGAAATGTCTTACATATAATTGTAGGTTTTTGAACCATGCTGCCATTATAAGTGAAGGTGACGTAAAATCAGACGGTTCAATAAGTAATCGATGGAGGCTATGTTCAGTACAAGAAATAGAAGATTTCAAAACCTTAATTAAAATCTTACCGCTTTGGTCTACTAGTTTTTTTCTTGCCACAACAATTGGCGTACAAGCAAGCTTGTCAATCCTTCAAGCCTTAGCAATGAACCGCCACATAGGACCCAATTTCCAAATCCCAGCTGGATCCGTACTCGTTTTTGTCCTCCTATCTACTACTCTATTCCTCGCCCTGTTCGATAAATTTATTTTACCTACGTGGAAGAATTTGACTGGAAAATCACTTACACCTCTCCAGCGAATTGGGATTGGACACGTGCTCAATTTTTTGAGTATGGGTGTTTCAGCCTTAGTCGAGTCAAAGAGACTAAATGTAGCAAAATCAAATGAAGGTTCCAACATTGTGCCCATGTCAGTGTTATGGCTTGTGCCACAATTAGTCATCGTTGGTATTGCGGAGGCACTTTATTTTCCTGGACAAGTATCATTGTACTACCAAGAGTTTCCAATAACCTTAAAGAACTTGGCGATCGCGATGATTTCCGTGCTTGTTGGTATATCATTTTACTTGGCTACTGCTCTGATCGATGTTGTTAGAAGAACAAGTAGATGGTTACCAGGTGACATAAATAATGGAAGGGTGGACAATGTGTACTGGATATTGGTTATAGGGGGAGTAGTCAACTTTGGTTACTATGTAATATGTGCTTGGTATTACAAGTATCAAAACCTCAAGCAAGTTGATTCTCCTTATGATGAGTGATCTAAGGATGCTCAGACTTGTGAGTGTTTAGAGAGAGCAATAATTTATCATCAATCTGCAATTAGTGAAAAAATAATTGTGTAAACTAAAAGCTATTGAGACATATCAAATAAAGTGAACTTTATCCTAAATTATATGTATCTAAATAAGAAATGTAACTGAAACACATGAATTTAGAAATAAATATAAAATCGTATTCCAATAATGATTCAAATCATGCTTAGTTCTAGCCTACTGAAATAATGTGTCGATTATGTTCATAGCTGGTCAGGACATCTCACCATAGCGGTGTTTGCTTCACCTTTTGATTTGTCAATGTTGCTCGTGGACTTCCGATTAATAAAGTTTTAAGAAATAAGGCCCCTCAAGTCGACAGCGATAGAAATAAAAGTCGGCTGAAGAGTGAGATTGTTAGGAAAAAATGGTGACTATAATTTGGCAGAAAAAAAGCACAAACTAATTACTTGCAAATTACACCAATTGCCATTATATTGTAGCATCCTCTTTGCAATAAAATGTTTGAACTATAATTTTCTAGCGCTATTACATTATTTGCATTTGATTCTGATTGTTTGGGGAAGTTTACTACTTGTTAATAAGTGGGGGGATAGGAAGAGATGGGGGGTTTGAGACTGAGGGAGATGATAATAGAGAAATATTTGATTGTTATTAAAATATTAGTTCTGAACGTGTGCTTTACACGTGAGTTTTTTAAAAACATTATATACAATTTAAGTTCTGCCAAAATTACATTGCCATGAGTATCACAAACTATTCAACAAAAGATACAATTTGAAATAGATGAACTATCAACCCATTCACGTAACTTCCTTATTGTATATCAAATGATTAGACATTCGATGAATAACAAGACTTGATTGGGTGATTAAAATTTTAAGTTATATTTTTATGTTATTAGGTCTAAAATGTGATATATTAGTATGAGAAAAATGAATATACTAAAATGACTATGTGGCTCTGATTTTACTTCAGAAGGAAGTTTCTATATAAATAATACTTTTTAGTTATCTTTTATTATTTCATCCAATTACGGGTGAGGATTACAAATATTCTTGATTTTGATTTATATAGGAATTTGAAAAAAGAAATAAAGTGACACTCTAAACAATTCTGATAATATATTATTACATCTTTTTTCGATCAATATCAAATTTTAAATAGCAAGTGGTTATCACACACCAATTATTGTGTGACACATGTTAATTGAATTTGACATATAATTTTTTTTAATTTTAAGTTTTTCTATATTTCTCTCTCTTACTTTTACTTATTTTAATTTTATTGCTTTAATTTTAATTTCGCTTTAAATTCTTCATTTTTCACCCTTACTTTTAAGTTACCTCTTCCTTCATTTTTTTTCTTCTTCTTTTTCACCTCCCATGCTCACCTCACCCCACCCCTACGTCAAGTTGAGGCTCTCCATATTTTTTCTTCTTCTTCGGTCAAATTCTTTTCTTTCAAAATTATACTATTTTCTAGAATTTGAAAGTATCATCAATTAATTTATCTCTTTTTTATATAACTTCAAAATTGGAAATGATAATTTTGAAAGAATCAAAATTCTTCGAAAATTGAAAAAGTATAAGTGAAATTTGGATTAAAAAATAAATAATATTTACTAATCATCTTGAAATCTAGTGAATTATCAAATTGTTCAATATGTAATAAAATATTTAAATATAATTTTAAAATATTTGCAGCAATTGATCGTGGGTTCAGTTTTATTTTGTTAGTAACTTTTATCATTCTTCATGTGCATTTGAAAATATATTTTTCATTGATGCATTTGTTAAGCTGCAAGTTTTTTGAGTATTTAAACCAAAAAAGATACAGCAAAATAATAGGAACAAAACTAAAAAAAATTAAACAAAATAAAAATCCTAACTTTTAAGAGTGTGTATTTATTGTTGACACCCAATTTTTGACCCGCGTTGGTATAAATTAATTATCGAACTTCGTGAGTTTTTTAAATTATTTAAAGTTAATTAGTCTTATAAATCTTGCGAATATATATATATGTATATATATACATATATGTATATACATATATGTATATGTATATGTATGTATCTTAAGTATTCCTAATTCCCAGCCCACTCCACTCCTCTCTCCCATTCCCAAAATAAAATTACCCAGGCCCAACACCTTTAAATCTTCAACCCAACCTTTAATTTCAGCCCAAACCCATCCCCCTCAACCCAATCGAATCCTCTTCAGCAGCCCATCCTCTCCCAATCACTAACCCGGCCCAAAACATTTAAATACCCATCCGACCCAAACCCATTTAACCCCCCGACCCAACCACACTCGACCCGACCCAACTCCTCCCTTTCTTCTTCCCCCAGCACCCCCACGCGACCCCCCTCCCTCTTCTTCTTTCCCTTCTCCCAGTTCCCCAGCACCCCCACGCATTTTCCAGAAAAAAGAAAAAAAACGCCAGCAACCTCACGCGATCTCCCCTCGCGTCTCACGCCCACGCTCGCTCTCTCCTCTCCTTCCCCTCTCGACAGAAACCAATAATTCCCCAGAAATCGCGCGATTCTCAGACCAAATTCCCAGAAAACAGACGCGACTTCTCCCCATCGCGTCTCTCCCTCACGTCCTCTCTCCTCTCCTTCCCTCTCTCCCGCGTCTCCCCCACGCTCGTCCTCTCCTTCCCCTCTCGACAGAAACCCAGAAAACTCAGACGCGACTCGCCAACAACCCCGCAGAGACCCATACCCTGCCGCTGTCGAGCAGGTCTGCAACACGCAAGTCGTCGCTGTCGAACAGGTCTGCAACACGCAATGTCGACCATGTGGGTTTGACCCAAGGGAATTTCGAATTTCGAATTCAAATAGAGGCCTAGCGTCCCTCTCTAAAGTCCATTTTTTTCAGTCATCAGGGGGGGTGGGACATTTTTGTTTGAGAAAATTTTCGAGAGTTGGAGCTTTAGTCGAAAAAAAAGAGTTGTTGTTCTGTCTGTTCTTGGTTTAGAAAGACTTATCGTGGTCTAGCTTTGACGATAGGTTCTCTAGAAGAGGAATCTTAGAGAGATCGTAGTTCGGAGGTCTC